TTCCTACTAGAGAAATCCTACTTTCCACTGTGTAGGTACTTTGGACCCTGGCCCTGAACCCCACATCCTTAACCCTAAACCCTAAACCCTAAACCCCTAAACCTTAAACCCTAAACCCTAAACCCATACTACCCCCAACCATGAACTCGGCATCTTTGGGTTCAGGAGCCCTGGGGCCGGATCTGTGAGGAGCCCACCCCGGGCACTGCCGCTTAACTATGGGGTCTAGCCCTTTAGGGTCGGTTTAGGGTTTAGGGTTTAGGGTTCAGGGTTCAGGGTTTAGGGTTCAGGTTTGGGGTTTAGGGTTCAGGTTTGAGGTTTAGGGTTTAGGGTTTAGGCTTAACACACGAAGTTTCATGCTTAGAGACATCATAACCGTTTGAAGCAGTAGGGTCTAAGCTTGAGGCAGTAGGTTGATGGAAGTTGGATCTACAACCCTCAACCCCCAACCCTAAACCCTAAGCCCTTTTTGGATCCACAGGTCTATCCTGACTGGCTGGAGGGGAGCTGGCAAGCGACTTCGACATTCGCAGGCCTCCTGGCAGGGAGACTTTCTTGTGACACTTTAGTGTTTATATTATTCCGTATGAATAACAAAAATTGGAACAAATAATAATTAGCAACGAAAAGTTGGAACACAGATTATACATAGCACAAAAAAATTGGAATTCCTATAACTGCATTGATCATAGTAAAGGTAATTTAGGGTTTTTCAGGGTTTTAAAACATGTTTTGGGGTGCACGGTAGCGAACCTCACGGGCTCCAGAGTGAGGCTGAGTTAGGGTTTGGGGGTTTAGGACTTTAGGGTTGAGGGGTTAGGGGTTTAGGGTTCAGGGTTTAGGGGTTTAGGGGTTTAGGGGTTTAGGGGTTTGGGGTTTAGGGTATTGGATTTGCGGGTTTAGGCTGGTTTAGGGGTTTAGAGCTTGGGGTTTAGGGTTTCGGGTATTGGATTTGCGGGTTTAGGGTTTAGAGTTTTGGAGTTTAGGGGTTTAGAGTTTAGGGTTTAGGGTTTGGGGTTTGGGGTTTAGGGTGTTAGGGTTTAGGGTTTAGGGTTTAGGGCTTGGGGTTTAGATTCGGGGTTCAGGGGTTTAGAGTTTAGTGTTTAAGGTTT